AGGGAAGGGGGGAGGGGTGAACCTAGCCCACGCCAGCACCCGGTTTTTGGGGGTGCCCCTAAGTAGGAGCTTGGGGCGTCGTGGGTGGATGGGGAGCGCAGCCCGGGCAATGTCCGCGCCCCCCCCCAGGCGTGACGCTGGTCCCCCCCACCCTGGGCTGGGGACCGGGGACGTGGGTCACAGCGTCCCCAAGGGGTTTCCCCACTCCTGGCTTGGACAAAAAGTGAACGCTGGGGCAAGCTGCTCCACTGGGGGGGGCTCAGACCCCAGACCCCACCCCGGGGGTGTCACGACCCAGGAGCATCACTCAAAGCGTCACCCAGCGCGTGCCTTGCAGGTTTTACGAGAAGGTCCAAGCACTGCACCAGGACCCCCAGGCCTCTGTGGACAACCCCTTGCTGGCCTTCAGCCTCATCAAGCGTCTCCACTCCGACTGGCCCAACATAGTCTACAGCGACGAGGCCACCGAGAACACCCAGGGTATGGGGGGATGCCAGGACGCGTGTCCCTCCGTCACCTGGGGAGAGCTGAGAGGGGACGGGGACTGGGTGGAGGAGCAGGAGAACAGAGGGATGAGCAGGAAAACGGATGGAGGAGCAGGAGAATGGGTAGAGGAGCAGCATGTGGGGTCCCCAGGGATGAAGAAGGGCTGATAAGGGTAATTGCACCCCAAAAGCTCATTAATCCTGCTTCGTGCACCCCATTACCCACCCTCAGCACTCCATGCCGGCTTCAAGGAGGTGGAGCAGGAGCTGCCTGGAGCCGAGGACCTGGACGGGGCTGCCCGGGCACTGATGCGGCTGCAGGATGTCTACGCACTCAGTGTCAAGGGCATGGCCAATGGTGTCTTCCAGCGAGCCGGCGCCAGCCATCCACCCCTTTACAGCCCCAGCCGGCGCATCTCGCTCTCCGCCGATGACTGCTTCCACGTTGGCAAGGTGAGGGCAAACCCCGTCAGCCCCCCACAAAGCTTTTCCAGCCTGGGATATTGCTTCCGTGGGGATAGACATTGGGTTTTCTTCCCGCACGGATGCGGAGGGGCCCCTCTGACTCAGCCCGCAGGCATCCGCCCGCCTGCCATCGCCTCTCGGCTCTCGCCCAAATAATGGGCGCCGATGACTGCTTCCACGTTGGCAAGGTGAGGGCAAACCCCGTCAGCCCCCCACAAAGCTTTTCCAGCCTGGGATATTGCTTCCGTGGGGATAGACATTGGGTTTTCTTCCCGCACGGATGCGGAGGGGCCCCTCTGACTCAGCCCGCAGGCATCCGCCCGCCTGCCATCGCCTCTCGGCTCTCGCCCAAATAATGGGGGGGCTGGCTGCTT